GCACACGGCTGGTGGGCGGGCGGGGCGGGGCTTTTCCTAATCTTCACAGGGATGGTTCCGCCAGGGCCCGTCCTGTTTGTGCGCCTTTCCAGCAGAGGGTAATTAGACAGGGTTTTTGTTGTTGTTGTTGTTTTAATAAGGCCGTGGTAATGGTGGAAATCCTGCCCTCCCGCCTTGGAGAGGTGTGCCTGGTTGCACAAAGAGCAGGAAAGGTCGGTTCTTCTGGAGACAGACATGGCCGAGACAGTCCTTCCTCTGCCGGGTGGTGCCTGGCCCACCCAGGGCTGCCAGGCGCGGACAGAAGATACTCAGACTCAGGCTGGCCCGAGACCTGTAGGAGCGCTCGGGCTGTTGTCAGAGTGGGCGGCCTTCTGGGCCCTCCCACCCCACGGCTCCTGCAGTTCTGTCCCCTGCAGGACCTTTTGGTCTGCTGTGCTGTGTGCAGCGCTCCCCCTAAGAGCCAGCCACGACCGATCCGTCTCCCCTACAGTCTTGGCCACTCTGAAGGCGCTTGATGACCCTCGCTGTGGGTACCGCGGTTGTCTGGGAGCTCTTGGAGTGGGTTTGTCTTGCTAGCCCTCTCCTTGGTGTCCTGCTGGCTCTCCGAGAAGGCGCTCAGTTCCCCCACGAGATCAGGGCAGGCTACCACACCTCACCCCAAAGACCTTCAGCTTTCCCCAGCTGTGTAAAGTATGCTTCCGAACATCTAGGGGCTCCTGGCCGGTCCTCGTGCTTCGGGGGAAGAGGCCAAGTCCACCATTTGGGGCACCTAGTACCTTCTACCAAAGCTGGAGTCTAGTTTTAAGAGCCCCTGACAGATCTCCTGCCTTTGGGCCCCACCATTAGAAGAAGACAGTGCCCAGATGAAAAGCAGCTGTGTAGCTACCCCGGCATTGGAAACGGGGGGACACCAGACCCTCCATCTTCCCCCTTGCCAGCCAGCGCCTGTCGGGCCAGGATGGGCGTGGTGCCAGAGCCGTAGACAGGACAGCCCGAGTGCCTGACCCGCTGAGGCCTACAGCCGCACAGGGAAGAGGAACAGCAAAGCTGGCACGTGTGGGTGGCATGAAGAAGGCCAGGGTGCCATGGGACAGAGTCACCGGATGGAGGCGGCGAGTGTCGGGACAGGGCCCCCTGGAGAAGCCAGCTGCAGAAGGATCAGCTTGCACGGCGCCCAGAAGGGAGACTGGGCCTGTTTGGACGCAGAGGACTTTGTGGCTGGAGACAGGAAAAGAGGACAAGTGTGTGAAATCAGCTGCAAAGGTAGCCGCGCTGACCACACCCGGAGCTTTTGGGAAGGTCTTTCAGTGTGGGAGCCCCGGGAGGCTGTTAAGGACAGGATGAGATTTGTGTTTTTAACACCCCCTCATCTCCAGGCTGTGCAGAGAATGGAATTCGTAACGACAAGCACGGGTGTGGAAAGGCCAGCTGGGAGGACGTGTCCAAATGGGAAGGGGACCCAGAGACGGGAGGGAAGGGAGTGCAAAAAGAATTAAGAGGTATTGTGTACAGGTACGGGCTCCCCACGTTGAATGTGGATCATTCTATGCTGCGCACATATGCTAATGAAAAGGTTTTAATTTTAAAAAATATAAAGGCAAAGGGAGAGAAAATAGTGAGTGGGACTTCAGTGATGGGGGTAGAGGTGAAGATAGATTAACCTGAGAAGTGTTGAAACAGTGGGATTGACAGGTCGTGGGGCTGGGTTAGTGCAGGGAATGAGGAAGAGGGAAGACTGAGGATGACGTGCAGAGTGTGGCTTGAGCATCTCTATGCGTTGGGAGCCCATAAAGAGTTAAGATCTGGGCGTGGTGGCGCACGCCTGTAATCCCAGCACTCGGGAGGCTGAGACAGGAGGGTCTTTGCAAGTTTAAGGCCAGCCTGGGCTACAAAGTGAGCTCAAGGCCAGCCTGAACTGCATATTGAGATCTTGTCTCAAAAAGACAAAAAAAAAAAAAAAGGTTAAGAAATACTGCAGGGGAAAAAGATTTGAAGGAGGAGATGAAGAGTTCTGTGTGAAACTTGTCGAGGTTGATACATCTTTGAGTAGAAGATGCATTTAAGTAGAAATCTGAGCTGGGCCATTGCCTAGGTGGTTGTGGCCCTCAGAGGGGCGCTCTGCGCAAATGACATACATTTAAGAGCCAGTGTAGATAGGTGGGGATGAAAGCTGGACCGGTAGGTGAGGTTCTATTGTGGGAAAAGGTAGAAAGTATAGCGCAAGAGGAGAGCCCAGATGGAGCCGTCCACAAATTCCAACATTCAGAGGTTGAGAGAAGCCGGCAAGGAGTTGGGAAACCATCCAGGAAGCCAGAAGAAGAGCCAGGAGAATGTGGGGTCCAGCCGTGCTAGAAGCCTAATTAACAGTGTTCGAACTGGGAGGATCGCTCAGCTTGATGAAATGAGGCTCGGAGACTGAGAGGGAGGGAAGAAGAGCAGGTGGAGCTGGCGGCAGATGGCTCCTCGGTAACCTTGTAGCAGTTTCAATAGAGATGGGAGTGGAAGACTGGAGTAAGTGAAGGTGAAAAATAAGAAGCAGAGGGGTGGCGGAGACACTCTAGAAGTTCAGCTGGGATGAGGGCAGGGGAAGGGTAATGGATGTGGCAGAAGGGCGTTCTTAGAATGGACTCCAAGAGCGATCACACCGTTCTGAGAACACAGGAGGGAATGGCGTCCAGCATGCGGTGGAGGGATGGGTTTAAGGTTTACAAAGAAACATCCTATAGTCACACCTGCTCAGGAGGCTGAGGCAGGAGGTTCACTTGAGCTTAGAAGTTCAAGACCGGCCTGGGCAGCATAGCCAGACCCTGACTCAAAGGGAAAAACTAAACAAAAAAGCATCTCTGTTTGCGGCTCTCAGTCTGCTGTCCAGAATTGCCTGATTGGAGTCACACATTTAGAATGAGATATTTGAACTCCCAAAAGGTCACAGGCAGAATACAGGCTACCTGCGTGTTCATCAGGCTACTTTCTCGTGGTCTCGCACACATTCTCTCCTTCCTCCCCGCTTCCTACCGCTTGTCTGGGTTTTGTTTTGTTTCTCTCACTGTGTTCTTTGTGTTCTCTTCCAGCAGCTGGCCCTGTCCACATACCCAGGAGAGACAGGTGCCAACAGCTCCAATTCTCACTTTCTCAGCTTTGCAGCCCCAGCGGAGGAGCAAGGATTTTCCCTACCAGCATCTTCAAATCAATCTCCAGGAGACTCCATTGTCTCCAGCTTGTATCATGTATCACGCGGGGACACTAGACAAGGGCTGTGTGGGAAGGGACCGTCTGCCAATGCAGACTCCAGCTATGTAAGGACTCCTCCAGAGCTGGCCCTGACGATGGACGAAGGCAGGGAGCAAGGAACGCCCCCTCCCTGCACACAGCACCCGGCTCACTAGTGGCTTCTGCAACACAGTAAAGAACTGTTGCAGTGCTGATCTAGCTGTACCCACTGCTGTAAAACCAGCATTATAGATCTTTTTATAGACTTAGGGGCTTTGTATTTCCTATCCTCATTACTGCTTCTCATCTTAGTCACGCTGTAACTTTGGATGTTTTCATCTACAATTCCTGATATGTCATCAGCTTTTTTTTTTTTTTTTTGGTTGGTTGGTTGATTGACTGATGGATGGGTTGTTTGGCTGACTGCCATTTTTCTGATTTCTTAAGGAACATTTCACACAACTCCTATTCCACTTTAAAATAGAATAACACAGCCAGGTCAAAAATGACTCCATTTTATTATGAAATGTCATAGTCTTTGGAGAGTAATTTGACAGAAAACAGCCAAAAGTTCAAAGTAAGAAATGAGTTCTGTTCCTGAATAAGTCTAGCAATGGCAGGGTGTGTGGATAGAGCACAAATCAATGGGAAATCATGCGGTTATTAAAATTATACATAATAACCAAAAGTAGTAAATAACACTTAAAAACTAGAGTAAGAAATATAAATATGGAATGCATAAAATATGTATACCAAAGAATAAAGGTTAGAATGCAACACAGGTAGGAGGAAGCAGTTCTTGGGGTGTTGTACTTACAAACAAATAATAAATGCACTTACCTTAAAGGGCTCTGAAGATAAAACAATTCACATAAAACATTTTGACACACTGCCAAGCACATGGGGTACCTCAGCTGTTACACTGGCTGCCATATTATAATTTATTGAACATTCACCAGCATTCATTTGATCCTCCTAACAACCACGAGAGTGTCATAAGTATCTCTGTTCCACACATATGGGAACCAAGGTTCAGAAAGTGCATGTCAGTTGGATGACATAGTTATTATACGGTGAGGCTGAGTTTTGACCCATTTTTTGAAAAATGCATGCCTCAGCCCCAGCTCAGTGACTAGTCCACAATAAGCTC